CCCCAAAACCCCAAAACCCCAAAACCCCAAAACCCCAAAACCCCAAAACCCCAAAACCCCAGATTAGAGATTTCAGGTTGAAATCTAATACTTTAAAGCAAAATCATGTAATTTTATAGATTAGTGAAACCATTCTCAAGGAGTTTACAGTTGATTACAATTTTTGGGATGGTTTTTATATGCACCTGAAGACATCTAAGGCTCTTCTTCAAATCTTTTGAAGTTGAAAACAAGTCTATTAAGTCATAGAAGCGTTCTGGGTGATCTTCCCAGTTGTTAGTTCTGATACCAGATCACCCTGAGATACTAATTGATTCAATTTTGCACCCTTTCAGAGCATTCTCAAGGCTCAGTTTCGGGCTATACAGGAGCTTACATCCATTCAGGTTGATACATTTCACATGCCTGAATGCTCAAAGAAGGTTGGCGAAGTATTTCTGAGAGATCTTGCATTGGAAAAGAGTCACTATCTTGGTGACTTTGCTAGAGATCCTTGATAAGAACTCAAGGTCTCTTGACACCACAGGAGTGTCTATAGCTCTCTTGCTAAATCTTAGCTCCTTGATGCTCTTCGAGTATTTGATCTTGTAGTAAGGATGATATCTGCATTTGTTACTGTAGAGAGTAAAAATGTTTGTGCTAGGGATCTTCAAGTCTTGGAAGCATCTTGCCATTACTTTTGAAAGGCCAGAGTCCTGGTCAAGAGAGATCATCTTTTCTAAATCTTGTTCAAAGTCAATGATCTTATGAATAAAACTAGAAATATTTTGTCGGGAGTAAGCTTGATCATTGGCTTCAACCATTTTGTTATATCATGCCTCTTTCTCTAAGAAAATTTTAGAGTTTAAACTTTTATTTATTGAACAGGGATAAGTGTTTTTGAGAAAGCTCTGAACTCTTTCTCTAGCATAAGAAGTATCGTATTCAATACCAAGGTCTTGCATTTCTTGAACTTCAATTCTCCACACTCACATTTCTTGATAAAATTTATTTTGTTGGAGATCAGCCAACAAAGAAGTTATTTTTGGGCTGATTTCAGATGTCTTAACCATATTCTGAGCTTTGAGGATGAAACTTTTCAGATATTGGTTAGTTAACTTGGTCAAAAGAGGGTATTTTAAAGAGTTTGCAAATTCTAAAGTTTTCATTACTAAATTAATGAACAAAACTTTCTTCTTTCTTTCAGGTTCCATTTTAAATTTTATTTAAATCAATATTTTAATTTCTATAAGGGGTTTTGGGGTTTTGGGGTTTTGGGG